TAAATTTAAAAAAAAACCATCTGATTCTAGGGTAAAGATACCCTCAATTTACCTTTATAATTGTGGTTATAAATTACAACAAATAAAGCTTATTTAGTCTTTTGAATTGAGGAATGCCAGAATGAAAAGCAAACCTTCTGAAGCCAAGTAAAACAAGAAGTAAGTAAAAAGGGGAAAGAAAATCATTATTTTCCATCCCAAGAAATGACAGATTATTATATAACAAGATTTAAAATCATTACATAAATCCACAGAATACAGAGCCATGATGAAGTAAGAGCCATGATTAAGATCTTTGGGAGATCTGGACTTTGAAGATGAGGGTTAGCAAAGGAGCTAGGCTCTTTCTGTTCTCTACATGAGACAGAACGCTGATGTGGACCAACCAGTGATCTAAATCCAGGATGGCAGTTTTCCTGCTCTGATAACCAAGTGCTACCCAGGTTTTAACAGACAGTTTGGAGTCCCTCAAACTTCTGATGGTTTATATAGCTTGCCTGTCAACATGTTGATGAAATGGGACTAATTTTACTATTTACATGGTCCTTTGAATTGCCCCTAAACCTATCTTTTCTAATTTTTACTGCATTTCCCCAAAGGCAATATCACCTAGAGAGGAAATTTCATGAAGTCATCTTTTTCCTAAGGCATATTTTTAAAATGACTGCAAAAAAATAATTTTAAGGAATAATCTGATCATTCCTTATTTTTCTGCCCTATACTTACTGTCAAAAGTATTAAATGTAGGCTATATACAAGTAAATTTACTACTAATTAAAAGTAAAAACTAGTAAACTAATTTGCTCATTTCATCATTTAGAATTGTTTGGGTTTTTTTGGTACTGGGGATCGAACTCACGACCTTGCGCTCGCAAGGTAGACCTGGTGCCACTGAGCTAAATCCCTGGCCCTAGAATTCTTATATAATATGTCAGTAAAATAACTATTCTGGCATCTTTCTTCTGATCTCCCTAAGAAACTCAAATAAATAGGTTACAAAAGTAGGCAGTTTAGTATTCTCTGAAGCTCAAATAAATTATTTTTATTATCAAAACTATCAGCATGTTAGCATTTTGCATTGTTG